CTTGTATGTCTACAAATCTAAATTATGATTAAATAATTATTTTATAGCTATTGAACCTTTTTAGAAAGAAATTGGTATACTATATCTATACTATAGACGCATATATTTATAATCTCAGTAATAAAGTTAGTCTGTGAACAGTTTGAATTAGAACCTTGTCAGTATGATATCCATATAAATTGCTATAGCTTATATAAAAATTGATTGTAAAGGCAACATATGAAAGTCTAGCTTTATCACTAGTACATGTACTAAAAATCTTTCCTTGAATTAACAAACGTACCTGAAGTTGGTGGTGTTTTCTTTCTTACAGGCTCTGTAAGTAGGCAAAAAGATCTTATATGTCTTTTGAGACCATCTGGGATATGTTCCCTGATGGACCTCAGTATACCTTCTTGATATAAGCACTTGTAAATACTAATAATTAACTGTCTTGCTTTGTTGTGATTTTTTTTTAATTGGAGGTTAGCTGCAAGCCAATAACAGACAGGAGGTTGTTTTTTTTCCTGAAAGTTCTGTTGTCAAATTCAGCTCACTAGTTCTAAAGTTCTGAGTATAGATCGTTGGTCTCCATTGTTCTTCTCGGTGGTAACGGCCATTCTGTCAATCAGTGTCAGGGTTTGTACAGAATGGGGCAGTCTGCAATCTCATCCCATGATGGAAGATTACAACATACATTGTCCTCTTTTTGCTTTCCCAAGAAAACAGTGGGCATTCCAGGAAGCAGATGAAGGCCATCAGCCTTCACATGCATCCAGGCCATTTGATCACCTTTCCTTCAGAAGCTATGAAATCATGACTGATCCTTGAGAAATAAACCTCACCCTTTGGGGAAAGGTGAAACACTCTCAAAATGAATATTATTCCCAGATTTATTTATATTCTGAGAGGAATTCCAGTTTTTATATCTGGAAAATATATATAAAATTCCCCTCTCACCCCCATGGGTGGTATGTATCTTCCTCAGTCTTGGGTCCTCTACCACTCCATCAGTCTTAACTACCTTCCCTCTCTTTACTACCATCCA